CCATATTGAGCTACGTGCCTTGTTTTTGTTGAAATTTATATGCTTGGCAACCTTGTCTTTTGTGTACCTTTTCTCTGAATATGGAGATGCTAACAGATTTAAGATTCAAGAAGTTATAGGAAAAGGCAGCTATGGTGTCGTGTGCTCTGCAATTGATACCCACACTGGTGAAAAGTGGCAATTAAGAAAATACATGATATTTTTGAGCATTTTTCCGATGCTGCTCGAACAATTCGTGAGATAAAGCTGCTCAGACTTCTTCGCCATCCAAATATTGTTGAGATTAAACACATCATGCTGCCTCCATCCCGTAGGGGCTTCAAAGATATTTATGTTGTTTTTGAGCTCATGGAGTCGGATCTTCACCAAGTTATTAAAGCTAATGATGACTTGACTAGAGAACACTACAAGTTTTTTCTTTATCAGCTTCTCCGCGCATTGAATTATGTTCACACTGGTAATTGCCGCTTTGTATTGGCTCCACTTTGCTCATACTTGGTTTTGATTTATATATGTGTTGGTCGTGTTGATCAATCGTGATAATTACACGTAAAGTTGTCGGAAATAAGCTTTTTGACGTCTGACCCTTTTAATGTTAACCACACATTTTTTTTTTACCAAACTCCAATTATGCCATGATAATTGGTAAACATTTTTCTGGTCAATATTTTTGTCTAGTCCATTTATAGTTTCCAATTTTCAGCAAACCTTTTGCCCTTTAAGTTATATACATGTTTGGTAACAACTGCTGCTTGTAGCATATCCTAATGTTTCTTGGTGCTCTTTTCCTATTTCATTGTGCTCTCCGTTTCCCTTTTTTACATCACCTTTGATGTCTTGTGTTGTGGACCAGGGACGGAGCATAATGAGGTCCCAAAGGGGCATGTTAAATTTGTATTTTAATATAATTTTGGTCCTATAGTATTTTGGTTCATGTAAAAATAAATATTTAAATTAAAAATATAAAAATTTATTAAATATTTAATCAAGTAGGACCGAGCTAAAGAAGGATAACCTCGAGTTTTCAAAATTTTTGGTCTAATAACAATTTAGGTCATTGTAAGTCTTAATATTACACAAATTAAGTGTTATCTTGTTAATTTTGAGTTTTTTTTTATAAATCTAATGTGAATACAAGGTAATATATGTACAAAGACTCAACTATTTAACAATGAACGCTCATACCCCCACATGAGCAGTGCTCGAACTTGAGACCTTAAGGATAATAATAATCCCTTAATCACTAAGGTTGTTTAATTCATGCTGAATATTGAGTTTAAATACTTAATAAGTCTTTATATTTTTTAAATAATATAATATTTCGACCCCTATCAATATTTAGTTCTGGTTCCGTTCATGCTCTGGACAACAAACTGCAAACTTAAGATATGTGATTTTGGTTTAGCTAGGATTGCATTTAGCGATACACCTATGACGATATGCTGGACGGTATGCCTTTCAAAACAACTATTCATTGATGTTTTCATATTCTAACTGTTCTATATCTATCACAATAGAACGAAAATGATATTAAAAGAATTAAAATTATTATTATTTCAAGTTACTTCTTTTACTATTAATCACTGTATTTGTAAAAAGAATTAAATAAGGTTAAATTTTAAATATTCAACATTTACACTTTTAAAAAATGATATTAAAATTATTATTATTTCATTGTAGTTTCATTTTAAACAATATTTTATTTGTAGAATCAGCGAGGTTATAAAAATATTAATAATGTTTAAGCAATAATAGATATTGTCTTGAATCTTTTAAATAATAATGTCATTTTTTAAAAATGTGTTTTAATTTTATAAAAAAAATGGTCTTATTGGATTTTTTAAAACATATCTTATTGGGATTTTTTAAGTACAATAATTACATTATTTTTAATAGTAAATTTATTAATTTAAATAAATCTTACAATAGAGATTACAATAATAGATATTATTATTTTTAAATGTTCCTTTTAAATTTACATTGAAGATAAAGTGTGTATATATATAAATATCACTGACCTTTAAGCGTTGACTCATTTATACTACCAACGTTTCAATTTTATCAATTTTAGCACTAACATTTACGTTTAAGTGCAATTATGTCACTCCGTCGAAAAATGATTTAATGGGATAATGACATGGCAATGGCATGCTGTGACGTCGCTGATGTGGATGCCACATCTAAATGACGTCGTTTTGACGTTTCTGTTTTAATGCTCAAAAGATCCAAAATGACGTCGTTTTACTTGAACCCTAATTTTTCTAGGGACTAAACTCAAAATTTTCCATTACATTTTTCTCTTCTTCCTCCTCATCTTCGCATGCATCTCCTTTTTCAAGGTTTTCTTAGCAACGAAACAGATGGTTACCAGAAATTCAAAACATTTGGAGGAAGTACTTGATAGACATGTTAGCAGAACTAAAATTAAACATATCTGCTATCTCAGACTTGAAATCACTTAACTTGGTTTGCTCATCGATATCTATAGCATAGGCTTTGCCGCCATTGTAGGACAATGAACCATCTTTATTGGTGACAAAGCCACCACCAGACTGACATATTGCTATAATTTTCTTCCTAGACATGGCCTGAATAGGAGAAAACCAAATCAACCACAACAAAAACTACATTAACAAAACATGTAATACATAACAAAAAAATGATATTTTTTCAACACAAAAAAACTAAAAAATAAAAGAAACCATAAAATTTTATTTCTAAAGCAGTAACCAGAGGAAGCTAAAAAACTTACTACAATCCAGAATCGAAAGCAAAGAAAAAACCCAGAAAAAGGGGAAAACACATAGTTGAATAAGGAATAAACCCTAAAATCTATGGAATTTGAATTGGGGAAGGGAAAAAAGAAAAATGGATAAACATCAGAAAGGCGGGATTTTTAGTTTTGGATTTGTTATTGGGATGTTGAATCCTTGAATTTGAAGGAAATCCCAGAAACCCAAAGCCAATGTCCGAACCCCAAATACACTCAAACACTCAAAAGATTAATGAATGAATTCAACACAATCCGCAACGTATGGTGAGGTCTGCTAAAGCTATAGTCACTTCCTCTTGCAACCTTTGATTTATTCGACCCTTTTATTTTAGTTATTAAAAATGATAAATTAATGGGTTAACTAATTCAATGTTTTGAATTTTTGGTAACCATATGTTTGGTTGCCAAGAAAACCAAGGAAAATGAGATGCAAATAAAGATGAGGAGGAGGAAGAAGAGAAAAATTAGAGTTGAAGCAAAACGACGTCATTTTGGATCTTTTGAGCACTAAAACAGAAAGGCAAAACGACGTCGTTTAGATGTGGCATCAACGTCAGTGACGTCATAACATGCTGTTGCCATGTCATTGTCTTGTTAAACCATTAAAGATGGAGTAACATAATTGCACTTAAACGTAAACGTTAGTGTTAAAATTGACAAAATTGAAACGTTGGTGGTATAAACGAGTTAGTTCTTAAATGTTGGTAGTATTTAAAATAGTTAACCATATATATATATATAATGGTAGCAAATCTACATTGAAGATAAAGTGTATATATCCAAATTCCTATCACATCATTTAAGAGGACAATTCTACTACGCGATAACTTAATTTAAGGTTAAGGAATGGTAGGAAAAAGATCCAACTAAAAATGTGATAAAAATAATATTTTTAATTAAACACAACTTAAAATGTTAGTTTTTTTTTAACATTTTTTGTTGAATCTAAAATGTTATGAAGAAGGCAATATTTTCAGTTCAACCTAAAATTTTAAGAAAGAATTAATAATTTAAGTTATGTCCAACTTGAAAATGTCATTTTTTATCACATTTTTTATTGTGTTTATTTGATGCCGTTTCTTAACTTTAAATTAGGTTTTGTCCCTTAGTCTTTCCCATTTAAGATAGACTTTTTAAAAGCTAAAAGTGTAACTCACGTGACATGTCTTTATTAAAAGATATTAATTTTTTTAAATATTTTTTGTTGAATATTGTTGATTCATTCATTTATTTATAAATGCTATTTATATAAATAATAAAAAGGGTCTAAAATGCCTCAACTTGAGGTGAATTGCTGGGAGTGGGAGATATAGAGGCTCAATCTAGATATAAAGAGTGATAATAACACTTAATACCCTCACGTGTAAGTGTACATATATACACACACAATCATATATTCATGGATTCCATTAGGCCGTATAATTGCATGTTCATCATTAACACTTAAATAGACTCAAATACATAATTACTAAAAACGTTCAAACAATTGATGATTTGATGTTTAGAACCTTAGTTATGATGGATATTTATCCCGGGTATATGATATTGTTTTATTAAATCTTTCTATTACTATAAATTACAAAAACAATCATTTGATTATTCATATATTCTAAATTTATTTTTTTAAAAAGTTGACGATCGTCTGAGTTAAACGTTAACGTACTGGCTAATATATGATAAAATCTGATTCAAGAATTGATTGAGCTAGATTTTGTGGATCAAGTATCCATTTATATTATGTTGTCGAGGCAGAATTTGAAACATTATGTTGTCCAAACAGTGCTTGAAATCAACGACGGTGCCTGTACACATTATTAAAATATGATTTTAATATATTCCGGTCATGAGATTTTAAACTTATACGATCATCAATATTTTAATAGAAAAAGATGAATTTAGAACATATTAATAGTTGAATCATCATTTTATAATTTTTAATAATATTTTAAAAAAATAACATCCTGGTACGAGAAATCGTTTATGTATATTTTATCCATACGTTCACTAAATGATACGGTAGTATTTTTAATATTTTTTTTATAAAGGACACAAAAATGGTTTTCATCATTCCCGCGTGACCGTTAGTTTGCCACATTGTTCGAATCTACCATTTTCTCTTCATTTCTAAACTAAACAAAGCTTTTCCTTCCATAGAAACCCAGTATTAAACAAGGCTTTATTTATTGGTTATTGCTTCCTTATGTGATTTTCTAGGCATTCAAACAACATGGAGGAGGATTCGATAATTACCGATGAGGAGGAGGAGGACGAAGCAACACTAATTCATCTCACTCAAAAAGTCAAAACGCTTGAGAAAGAAAAGCTCGAATTGGGCAACCAGAACAAACAAGTGAAGGAGATGATCAAGACCCTAACCCTACAAGTCAATCAATTACGAAACAAGGAAGATGAAGCGGGACCTGAATTGGACGAATGGAAAGATGATCATGCCGTCCTCGAATCGCTCGCCTCCAGATCCGCTGATCTCGAAAACAAGGTCTCCAGGTTGCAACACGATCTCATAACTTCCATGCGCGAAATATACGAGGCCAACAAAGAGGCGGTTGATTTAAAGAGAGTGTAACCCCTCAGACCGATGCGGGTAACTCGATGCGGGTAACTTGATCCGATCTGGAGTGTTACATTAGGGCTACCGGAGTGACCTACTGTAAAAATAGCGAAAAATTTAAAACTTTTATTAAAACATGTAACTTATAAAATCTTTAAATCGGTATACATAATTAAAACAGATTTTTAGAATCATATATAAAACAAAATACAATTACATGCCCCCTAATCACATGTATTGTACTCTGCAAACAACACCGGAAGAACTCCCTTACTGAAGTCGATAGCTGCACTGGTACAATTCTTTTAGCCTAAAAAGATGAGTAACAGAGTGATCTTTAGAAAGCTCAATAATACAGAACTACCAGATGATGCTGAAGAACGTGCAGATACAGATAAACATATATTTTCTTATTGGTTTCGAACATCTATGGATTTTTATGCAGAGCGGAGATCCTACTGATATTTCAGATAGTAACGGACAATGAGCTTTCAGTTCAAATGGAAATATTTTGGATGTCAAGGTTCAGGAGATCATAATAGGTTATCTAGTGTGTTCCTTTAAAACTAGTAAAAAAATATAGTTTTTTTTAAAACATATATATATATATATATGCCCTCATCCGTCACGAACAAAATGAGTAGGTTCCCCAGAACCATACAACCCCGTCACGTCCAGTAAGGCCCTGAGCACAAAGCCGATGAACCTGCAAGTATTCTTCCTCCAACAATACCCCCAATAAAACATGTTCTGTCCGTAAACGGATATATCAAAAATCAAAACATATTTCAGGTCAAGTATCATATCAGAATCCAGGTCATGTATCAGATCAGAATCAATGTCAATATCATATCAGAATCCAGGTCAGGTATCATAACAAAATTCAAATTGGAAATCAGATAAAATATTCAAGTGATTAGGGAACACACCAGAGTTTACGGATATTATTTAGAGGTACTGGATAATCTTATCAGACAGAGAAACACAGATCTTCAGTATGTCGATAGAATGTTGGAATTTAGAATCACTATTGGAAGAGATCAATAACTGATGGAATCATCAGTTATTCAGAATATGAATTATCAGGATCATATTTTATTCATACATTTTTCAGAAGTTGTACGTAATAAGAACGGTATTCAGAATCCTTTACAACTATGTCGATTGATCGAAAAATCGAACAACTTGAGACGAATAGCTCTCAGAACAAATGCTTGTTGACTGGTCAATTCATTGTTCTTCCAGGGTATTTACTCATTAATACCACAAATCATTGTCCATAGATCATCTTTGGAATCATCGTTGAATAGATCTTAAGGAAACTAACAGATATTCCAATGCTCTTTATCTCATTTCCACGCTTCCACGATATCATGAAATGCTAACGTGCTTGATTTGTAGTTCATTACCCATAAGAACATTATATCCTGTATGATCATTAACGTTTCCAGACTCATCCAAATCACTTACTTAATCCTCAGTCCTTGAGGTTACTTAATTCATTTAGCAGTCAAGTCCATTCCAGTTACTTCGGGGTTGTCCAGAGTAATTCGTACGTTTCTGAATTTCGGATACATATTGTACTCTTGTTCCATTCAGTTTTATTTTCATGGTTGATTTGTTTAACGAATATCCCATTCTTAGTACAGAATGCGATCTAGAATTGAGCTGAGCTGAATACTTCCAAAATTATCATTAAACCAAACTTTAGAAGTCGAACACGCATTCAAGTGACATCTATGCCGTTCTGGTACTGATATAACACTAGCATTGGTTGCTCTGCTTAATATATGATCCATAACTTTTAAGAGTAATACCACACCCATGTTTATTTGGATTTCCTTAATTAATCCAAGACATCTACTTAGTCTATGCCATAAGGGTATTTTAGTCATTTTGATGTTTAGTTTTATTTCATTCATTACAGAGCTCGAGGATATCCAATCATTCATGATCTTTGTGATATTCTTTGGTCATTTCCATTACAGGGGTATTTTGGTTATTTTTATAGATCTGGTGTAGTTCAATAATTTCCTTTCATACGATCTTATTAATTCAAACGTATCATCTTTTCCAGACCTTTTGAACAATTCTTACAAAAGAGCACCATCGATAATTTATTCTTAACTCAGAGATTTTCATGTCAATTATCTTATCGGAAGTTACTAACATGTTATCAGGAATTTTCTGTACAAAGACAAGATCTTAACAATTAAATCTGTAATTTATCGAGTTAAGTACGAATCCTCAAAATACGTTCTCATTCAGGGTCAATTCAGATTATTTTTACCTCTCAAGGGCATTTTCGTAATTTCTTAACAAAATAGTTTCAATATTAACTCTTTACAAAAATAACTATAATTAAGAGATACTATGGTTAATTTCTTTTCAGAACATTATCTAATCTTGAAATGGTTCCTTAACAGACTTCTAGTATCGTGCATAAACCCTCTTGGGATTAAAAACCAGTTATCCGAATTTTCCAATTAAAACCAACATTTCTTTTGCACATATGTAGTTTTATCAGACCAATAAATCTTTTCAAAGTTATTAATTAATAGAATATATACATATTAATGACTAAATATATAATTATACTAATATTTATAATAACCATGTCATCTCCTTCATTATATGTTGACGACAAGTAGATTAATTGAAATATTTAAATAATTAATAGTATGATTGATAAAATTAAAACATCATTGGTCAAAGTAAAAAAGGGACAATAATTTAATGAATGTATGAATAGTTTACCTTATATATTATTGTTGATAAAATCAAAGAAGCTAATTTGGGGTTTATGGAAGAGGTAATCAAATCCAATCTACATCCCTCAACCAAACGCACCGAACGAAATGCAACCCAAATCAATATCGTATCTTCTAGAAGTAAAAAAGATAAGGAAAAAGAAAATGCATGTCTTAATCGAGTAAAGAGAAAACAAATAGTATACATTGGAGATGCAGCCGGTTGTACTTGCTGCATTCCCCAACTGCTGCTATGCCCTTCCCACACGCCCAATTCATTTCAATTCCGGAGAAAAATCCATCGTCAATAATGTTTCCTTCCCCAGGAATACCCTCTGTTCTTTAACTCTACCTACAACCACCAACGATTACACCAAACCCCAGCACGAGAATCAGAACAGAACCAACAGCTACACGTACCCAGATCACAAATCCACCTTTTTAGAAAAATTCTACACTTCATTCAGTCAGAAAAACGTGAATAATCAAGACTTAGATCCCCAAAACCAAGAAGAAGAAGAAGAAGAGGGAAAACGTCCTGAAAAGACTGGTTTTTGGGGTTTTCTAAGAGTTATTTTCTCGAAAATGTGGTGGACGAATTTGAGGGCTGCTGTGGGTCAAAGAATCAACGTTGACGGCATCGTGTTTTCGGTCCGGGTGTTCATTAAAGACCGGCACTTGGCGTTGCCTCATGTTGCAGTGCGTGATATAAGGTGCATTGATTGGTCTGAGCTCTACAGAAGGGGGTTTAAAGGCGTGGTTTTCGATAAGGATAATACCATTACTGTTCCTTATTCTTTGACGATTTGGCGTCCTCTCCGTCCTTCCATTGACAAGTGCAAGGAATTTTTTGGCCCTGATATCGCCGTGTTTAGAAACTCTGCTGGTACTTTTTTGGCTCCACTCTTTTGAAATCAAGTCCTTTTTTGTTATTCGCTAATTGACGTTTTGTTTTCTCCCCTCGTTTCGATGAATTAAGGTCTTTTAGAGTACGATTACGATGGTTCAAAGGCGAAGAAACTATAAGGGACTATTGGGATTAAAGTAATAAGGCACAGTAAGTTTTTCTACTTTTGTTTCAAGATTTTTGTTTTATTCTGTTAACAAATTGATTCCTATAGCATTTATGAAGAAAGTAATCGATACTTTAACTGTATGTTATAGTTTCAATCATGTGTTAAAACTTTAAACACGTAAAAACTCTGGGATGAGTTACAACAGCTGCTAAAGATTGTAGGTTTAACACACAGTAATTTGAGTTAGTGTTTGGTTTATCTAGAATTGATTAGGGTCTACATATGATGTGTTTGTAGAGGTTAAGAAACCAGCTGGAACAGCTGAAGAAATTGAGAAACACTTTGGATATAAGTCCTCGCAACTTATCATGGTATGTAAAGGGAAATAGAGCTAACTTGGGGTGGTTGATTTTATCGTGATTTTGGATTATGTCGGTGACATAATTTATGTTTATGGCAGGTGGGTGATAGGCCCTTCACAGATGTTGTCTATGGAAACCGAAATGGATTTTTCACTATACTAATTGAGCCTTTAAGTGTTGTTGAAGAGCCATTCATTGTTAGGCAGGTTGGTTTTCTTCTCCTTTCCTTTCCTTTCCTTTCCTTTCCTTTCCTTTTCATTTATTATTATTATTATTATTATTATTATTATTATTATTATTTTGTTTTTAGTTCTAAAGGATCTTATTGAACAATCTGAAATGATAGAATTGCGAACCCAAACCCTGGCAAAGTATCTTTGTTCTCTTATTCTGTGAGTAACTTGCCGTTGAAGGGTAATCTCGGAAATTAAACCTAGCTATTAACTTTAGATCTTAATAAAACATACCATTGGACCTTTTTTCTGTTCTTATACATCACCTTAAGTCTGTTTGATTGCCTTTTTTCTAATTCTGTGTTCTTCATTTGATGAGTAGAGACTGTCTATTAACCTAGCATTTTTAGGGTTGATGGACTTAAAGTCTTCAACTCTCACAACTATTATATGTATGTCTATATATATAATGATGAGAATTGTATGGTGAATTTGTGGTAATCAGGGTTTCAGCTAGCTTTGTTCCTTGATATAGTGTTTTGTGGATCGCCTAGATCTTTTTTTTGTTTTCTTTGATGGAACTATCTAATCCCTGCCAGTTGCTACTGACTTGCACTATCCCTTATCTGCAATACATTAAGATGACCTGTTCGAAAAAATGTATTCACCAAGTTTTTTCTTTACATGATGCTTGCGTCAGCGTGCTCATATATTTATGGATTTTATTCCCTTATGATGTTCCAACAAACTTCCTTTATCGATCAACAATCATTCTCTGGTAGACATACCCACTTGTTTTCAAGGTGGTTATTTTGATTGACAAATATACCGAACAACATGGACATGTTTTGAACCATCTTTTTACATGTTCTCATTAATTACAATCATGAGATACATGTTCGACAAAGGCTTTTCACATTAAGAGCAGGGTTTCAAATAGCGGAACGAAAATGCTATAGTGGTCGCCGTCTGAAATTGATATTGTATGAAATAGCGGTGTGAACGCGGAATCACACCAATAGCGGTCGATAGCGGCAGCAACTTAACGGGTAACGGCCGATCACGACGATAATGGCCCGCTATTCTCATTATTTTCCGTTACACCAAATCAGTCGAACATGACAAAAAACGGGGTGATTTGAAACAAAACAAAAATGAAAAAAGAAAGATAGGAGAACTCACCTTCATCACAGGTAGACGAGAAGCTTGAGGGTCCGGAATCCAAATTACCGAAAGGTGATTTCTTAGATTTAGGGCTTATTGTGATTGGTTTTAGGAAAAAGGGGCTTTAGATTTGAGTTTGGGGGAACGAGACGAGTCTTCTGAGACTCTTGGATAATCCCCGGCCACCGCGGTCGGCCATCGCCGGTGTCCATGACCGATGGACTATATGGCCAAGTGGGCTCTTTTAGAGCATGTGGATTTTCCTTGGCTTTGAGCAAAATGAAGAAATGAAATGTGGGTTTCAAAACCCAGTGTTTGGGTTATAAACAACCATATGTTCATAAACAATCATATGTTCGATGTCGTTTTTAGAGGTGGGGATTTCATGAATTCAGCGCATGGGTAAATCCCTCGATGAGACCCTTTCCATTTGTAAATTTTCTATTTAGTCATCAAATGAAAAGTTCACCTTTTCGATTCAAGCTTATAATTTTGTTTTAATTTCAGTTTAGTTCCCTGATTGAGACTTTTATGTATATTAATTTGGTCTCCAATTTTTACGTGTGTTGCAATTTAGTCACTTTTCAAGACTTTGTTGGTCTTCTGATTTGGATCTTTTATTTTACACGTATTCATTTTAATAAGTTATAATATGTTGATTTTCGTAAGTGAATCATAATGGGTAATTTATTTTTATCCATTTTAAAGAGTTTTTTTTTTGCTGATAGTCTTATTTCTTTAAATAATAACTATTCTTTAAAACTATAACTATAATTATTATATTTTAGGATAAGTTGTGCTAATTTTAAAAAAATTCACGACCACGACACCTATAGTGATTGTAATGACATCCGTTATGTCCGCAATTGCTATAAACGCGACGCGACCGAAAATGCGGCCGCGAACGTTATTTAAATCCCTAATCTGGGGGAGGAATTTGGTAAGTTAACTGCAAGAACCCCATAGAAAGAATGGATGTGAAAATAGTACTCTGAGCTATTTGTATGTTTCGGAGTCTTTTTGAATGCATTCCATCTTTCTGATGTCGAACATGAAATATTTTGGGTACTATATATGAAATAATGTGCTAAAGAAATTTTTTGTGAGACAAATGGGTTGTGCTGTTGTAATCTTTTAATATACAAACTGCTAATTCTCTGTTTTTCTTTTCTTTTTCCCGAGTTTTCTAGTGTTTTAAATGGAAAACACCTGTACGTTGCATTGAAAGCTGAAATAGTATTATATGAAAAATAAGATTTTGCTGAAAGGATGATTTACAATTTCTCCTGTTCATCTTTACTTTGGCATTGTTTTTTAGTATGCATGATATCTGATATTTCTTTCAAATGCTTGAGCTGTAATGGAAGAAACTAAATGCTTGCAGGTTCGGAAACTAGAACTGGCGCTCTTAAATTGGTGGGTTAGAAGAGGTTTGAAGCCAGTTAGTCATAATTACTACCAGATGCCAAACAGTGTCTGAAAGATCCAGATTGTTAGTAAAGAATGTTATGGATACACGTGAAAATGATTTGTTGATGTAGCCTATGACAAATTTTTTAGTCATGATTATTTGGTTTTACCAGCCATTTTAGTCTGTTAGTTCTTTCATTAATTGTTGACGGCTGACCAATTTGGCATCCCTAGAAAAATGATTTACTGTGTTCCCAACAAGTGAATTTAGTCATGGAGTTTTCCTGCTCCTTTATCAAGAAAGTTGATAGGCTGAGGCAGCAACATAAAGCAGGTATATGTCGAATCAATTTCTCGTGTTTCTGCACTTCTGCTTTGCAACTCACATTATGTAGGTACTATCTTGTTTCCTATTCTGTATTAGATTATTTTTTAAAAAATTAAGATTTGTAGTCTCGTTTATAAATTTAAATTTTTAAAAATGTAAAAATGAACTGTATATTTGTCGACTTATTCAAAGATTGAATTAGTGATTTTAGGGATTTGGGTTCTTGTTGAGGTTTTAGAAAAGTTTTGGGTTTTTTTTTTCAATTTTGTAAAAAAATGAGTTTTTTTTTTATAAATAAATTTTAACTTTATTTATTTTTTTAATATAATATTATAATTTTTTTATGAATCTATATATGTATATTTATGCGTTTGATTCGTAAAGAGTAACATTGCCAAATATTAGTTTACTTGATATGAATATAGGATTGTAGTATTTAGTTCATGGAATATAAGATTACTTAGAATTCAGGACAGGAGATTAACTTCGATAAGTTGGGTCTTTTATTTAGTTCGAACATCATAGAAGAAAATGAAAACGATTATCGATGCATTCTTTACACTTCCACTGTGTCTAATCTGGAGAAATATTTGGGCCTCTCGAAAATAGTAGGAAGAAATAAAAGAGAGGCGTTTGTTCACATGAAGGACAAGTATCGGAGTCGAATTGCCGGTCTACTTGGGCACTATCTTAAGGGGGTAAGGAAGTTTGCATTAAGTCAGTTCTTCATGCTCTCCCCTTATATGTGATGAATTGTTTTTTTGCTGCTACAGACTTTGTGCCTTGAGTTGACTGGAATCATGGCTCGGTTTTGGTGGTAGAACTCTGTGTCACTTCAAGGGATCTATTGGTGTTTGTGGAAAAAATTATGTCAGCTAAAGGATGAACGAGATTTGGGTTTTGGGACATGAGTAAGTTTAACAATGTGCTCCTAGCTAAGCAAGGGTGGAGGATTATGATGAGCCTGACATCGCTAGCTAGTTGGGTTTTACGTGGGAAGTATTATATTACGGGGGATTTTACGAACGTGAGATTTTGTTTCACCCCATCGTAAATTTGACGCAGTTTGTGGTATGCGTGAGGTTTGTTCGAAAAAGGCTTAAGATGGAGAGTTAGGAATGGTCATTCCATCTTTATATGGAATGATTTCTGGATAGCATTAAGAAGCCTACGTTGTGTTGAGTCTCGGAGGGTGGATACAGTTGAGTTTGTCTTAGATTTTATTGTGACGGACACTATGTCTTGGAGGGAAAATCTAACCACGAAAATATATAATGAAGATGAGGCAAGGTTGATTTTGAGTATACCGATTGTTAGCTTCTGTCAAGAAGGTTGCCATGTTTGGAGTGGTGAAAAGACGAGAGGGTATAGCGTTATGAGTGGATATCGACTGCTCCTTGGGGATGTTGATGTTTCCTTACCAGTTAAAGCATGTTAATTACATTTGGGCTAGTGCATGTCAACGTAAGATTCATATACATGCTTGGAAATTTGCTCAGAATTTCATCCATTCGATGCATAATTTATATATCAAACATGTTACTCCTAATCATTTTTGCTCTCGCTGTGATGATGTTGAAAACAGTGTGCATATCATTAGAGATTGTCAGTTAGCAAAGTTAGTTTAGCCTGCTATGGATTATAATTGCCCTACTCGTATAGCACATGTTGATTTGATCATCTGTTTACATGGTTGTTTGATCACTATGCTTCCACCAAACATGCAGAAATTTTGATGATTATATGGGGATTGTGGTTTGCACGAAATTGGTTCTATCACGAGGGTAAGAAGATACAAAGGGAGGAATTTTTTATCTTTGTTCGATCGCATTGTTTGGAATTCAGGACTGCCTATACAAGAATTCGAAGTCATGTGACTCAGGCTCCGGATAAATGGCACGCTCCTAATCCTTTGAGTGTGTAGGCAACCTTTGATGCTCGATACATTCATGCACAACAAAAAGGTTTGTCAGGGGTTATTATTCTCGAGCATGAAGGCTACATTCTAGGTGCATTTTAGAGGAAGTTTTTGAGAGTTACCTCGACTTTAATGGTGGAGGCTACGACGGTGATTCACGCCGTTAAATTTGCTGTAGAGTTGGGCTTCCAAAATATTGTGAACGAAGGTGATGCGAAAGTGGTGGTTGATAAAGTTGCTTCCTTGGTGCGTGATTTCATGGCAAAAAGCTCATTGATTTTAGAGGCGAAAAGGAAATTAGAGGTCCTCACCGCTTGTACCTTTTGATTCACCCCTTGTACTGGTAACAATGTTACTCATATGCTTTCAGCTGATGAGGAAGACCGATTATGGATTGAAGAGTGTTAAACCTATTTTGATATAACAAATTAAGGGAAAATATTTTTGGACTTGATTGAATTTATCCAAAGTTTCCAAAAATAATTTAAAGTCAATTGTTCACAAAAAACAATTTTTTAAGTAAGCAGTACCAATATTGTTCTCACAGTATTAATATTGTATGAACAATATCAAACAAAAGAAAGGTATCAATACTATCTATTGTTTTCAAAGGTGTTTAGATTCCAATAGGCAAAAATAATACCGGTACTCAAATGAGTATCGATACAACTTTACATAGTAGTATCAATACTATAATCCTAGTATCAATACTCTCTTAGCTTAACGGCCTAGAAAAAGAAAGAATAAATTAATGAATTTTTTGGAAATTACTTGGCGCAAAGCTAAGGTAGTGAGTGTAAACTTCATTGAGGAAGTTAAATCATTATAAATCGTTATGCCAAGTTTTCTTATCATTTCTCCTCAATTCTTAAATTTTCAAAAAGTCAATTCACCCCCTCTTGACTATATTTTCGGTTGTTCCATAGAGCCTAAAATCCCAACAATTGATATTAGAGGTTGACTCATTTTAAGGTCTTACAACCTCTTGAGATGATCCTTGAAGAAGCTTTATCAATTCCCAACGCAACTAACAAGATGACTTCCACATCCGGCTATTACGATCTTGAGGAATCCCACTCCATCACAAGGTCATCCTACTTCAATGGAGAAAATTATTCATATTGGAAGAATATGATGCTGTTTTTCATCCAAGCCACCGACCTTATGGTTTGGGATGCCATTGTCGACGATTCTCCCACCTCTCAAAGATCTTACAACCTCTTGAGACGATTTTTGAAGAAGCTTTATCAATTTCCAAAGAAACCGAATAGATGACTTCCACATCCAACTATTACTATCTTGACGACTCCCACTCCATCGCAAGGCCTTCATACTTCAACGAAGAAAATTATTCTTATTGGAAGAATATGATGATGTTGTTCATCCTAGCCACCGATCTTACGGTTTGGGTTGTCATCGTCGACGATTCCTCCACCCTTCCAAGGAATCAATCAAAATGGACAAGTGAAGATAGGAAGCTTGCCTAACTCAATGCTAAAGCCATGGACACCCTCTTTTGTGATCTCGGCCTAGACGAATATAATAGAGTATCTTCATGCTCTAATTCTAAGAAGATTTGGGATAAGTTTGAGGTGACTCGTGAAGGAACAAGCCAAGTGCCAAGAATGATATTCTCACTCTTAATTATAAAAATTTCAATATGAAACCCAATGAAGACATAAAGATGATGTCCGATCGATTTACTTCTATCATCAACAAGCTTAAAGGATTTGGGAAGGTTTATCCCAATGAATAAGTATTGAGAAAGATAGTCTCTTACTTACCAATGTATTAGGAATGAAAGACCAACGTCATTGAAGAAGACAAGGATTTCGAGTTGCTCACTCTTGATGAGCTCATTGGTCCTCTATTTACCAGTGAGATAAGACTCCAAAATAAGAAAGAATAAGAAGAAGAGAAAAAGAATAAGGTATGAATTGTTTTCAAGTTCACCAATAAGAGTAATAAAGAGGTAAAGAGGTTGATAAAGATGAAGAGATGGCCAAGCTCTTCAAAAGATTCACAAGATTCATGTTTTCTAAAAGAAAAAAAATAAACATGAATTAAGCAAGAAGAAAGGTCCCCCCAGTGTGCTTTGAATGCCAAAGAACGGGACATGTTAAGTATGAGTGTCCCCTCATAAAGAAGAAGAGATCAAGCAAAAAGAAGGCATTTATGGCTGCTTGGAGTAATGAACACAACTCCAATTATGAAGATGAAGTAGCCAACTTATGTCTCATGGCCATCAAAGAAGATTCAAGGGTAACTTCTAAAGCCATCAAAGAAGATTCAAGGGTAACTTCTAACTCTTGTGATTTAAATTCTTATTCATTTAAAAAGTTACAAGAAGCCTATGATGAATTCTATTTGAAATTTGTGACCATGAATTCCAAACATAAGAAATTGATTTCTAAATTTAAAAATGAAAATGATTTGGTTTTGAAAGCAAATTTGATTTTTGAAAAGCAAAATTTTAATTTTGAAAAATGATTTTGAGCTTTAGAAAAGAAAATTTGAAAAAAAATTCAATTTGAAAGTTAAGCTTGAATGCTCAACAAAAGAGAAAGAAATCATTTCTCAAAATAATTCATTTACTTTAAAAAGGAAAATGATCACAATGCCATTTTCATGGTCATAGTCTACATATTATTCTTATAAAGAAAAGAAAATATTTTAAAATTAGACAAGTATTGATTCATAAAGAAACAAGAGACATTGGAACTAACCCTCTAGGACCCAAAGAAATCTGGGTAGTGAAATCCAAATGAATGTCTCTTGTAGGTGTATGTTGGAGCAATGATGATAAAGGTAAAGAATTTCAAATGCTCTAATCACACAAAGAAAAGGATGGGTAACTTCTAAACTTAAAGCTTTTTTGATTTTGTATATTGATTGCCTATTGATTTTTATACATTCATGAGTATCAAGCATAAATGTTTACAGGTTGTTTGTTGTCTCTGTATGTTGAAATTATGTTATGATGAATATTCTTTTATTAAATTTTTATGTGTTTGTTCATCGTAATTATTCTTTTTGGTTAAGTTGTGTTTTCCAACGTTTTAAAGCAATTTTTTTACTTTAATTTGATTGTTTATATATATGTGTTTACTTAAATGATGTCTCTTTAACAATTGATATCAATTTTCAAATGCCTAACATTTTGTAATGTTTTATGCATATGAGTTTTAAAGTATAAAAAATGGCTGTCCCTTGTTCCCATATGTAATGGGGTAAGGGGGAGGTAAGATAGTAGGCTACCCCCAATACTAGGTTGAGAGCAGCTTCCGTAGGAGACCTCCAAATTATGAAATGCCCTCCATGGGACTGGATCACACGACCTCAAGGTTAAGAACCTTGTGCTCTACCAACTGAGCTGAAGTTTTAAAGTATCTTCCATGATAATGCATAAAGTATGATAAACTTAGACATATATATTGAATTTCATATGTTACTAACATGTTTGTTCATCTTTATTGAAATTCAATATTATTTAAGTATTAAAGTTTTGTGTCAAAATTTTTACATGGAATGCTTTAGTTGAGGGGGAGCTTTTGATTTTTCAAATGGTTTTATGTTAAAATTTTCTACTTATTCTCTATTGTTATTTTGTACCTTAATGTTTGAATTATTTTTTATATAATAAAAAGGGAGAGAAGTATATGTTTGAAAAATTTTAATCTAAAGAATGAAAAAGGGGAGCTTATGATAAAGAAACTCTTCTAGAAAGAATTCTCTCTTTGAGTATGAGCGACCCTACGAAACTTCTAAGAACTACTGACATAACGAGGAGGCAAATCTTAGGCCATCAGGCATTGGAATCACTCATGGATCTGACATGGTGATAGACAAACCAGATGGGTTTGTCTCTTCTTATGCGTCAATTCTAACAGGAAATCCCATAGATGGATCTACAACATCTAGTAACCTGATGGACGATGAATGAGACTTTGATCTCACTAATGAGGACATTATAACTAGCATGCGCGGGGGCTTACCATCAATCCAATTCTCTAAACGTGCTTAAAACTTATGGAATAGAATATGTCCAAAATGATTACTCTCGAGCTGTTCGGGCATAACATAGGGTTGCATGCTGTTACGAACAAAAGCTTTACACTCTGGAAACCTTCCCAACCCTTCACTCTCATGGATCTGGAAAATGGATACTTCTGGCTAACTTTAAAAAAAAAACGATTATGATAAAGTCTTGACCGAGGGGCCTTGGATTATTTTCGAGCAATGCCTCACAGTTCAGCCATGGACAAGAAATTTTAGCATATCTTAAGCTTTTTCTACCAGTGTTACGGCTTGGATTCATTTTCTGGGTTTATCAGAATATATGTTTGACAACAAAATTTCTAACTTGTATTGGCAATCTTGTTGGCAGGGTTATGAAACTTGAATGGCGCAAAGATACGAATAACCATAGATGTTTTGCTCGAGTTTCTACCTACATCGATCTCAAGCAGCCCCTAATCTCTCGAATTATAGTGGGAAACAAAATTCAGGCATTGGAGTTTTAAAACCTTCTCATTGTGTGTTTTTCCTGTGGAAGGTTCAATAATCTAAAAGAAGCATGCCCGTTTCAACACAACTTCTGACCTAAGTGGCAGGTCGGAAACAATTCTGGGACCTATCCCGATAACTCTAAGGAAGATACTACCATTCCAATGATTAGCAACCCCACGGTGGTGGAAGTGAACAATCCATAAACCACCCCCTATGAGCCCTAGATGATCGTCGAACGACATCACCAACATTCACCAGTCAGAAAGGGGAACGGTAAACAAACTGTCACTGATAAGGAAACAAATAATTATGGATCCCCTTTTGTAGCTTTGAATGGAGATTCGAATGTTCCTGGTTTACAACCTTCAATTCAGCACGGGATTGGCAACACTAGCACTGAAGTTTCCTTACCTAAAAACACGACCAATAATGCCCCGTAACCTTTGGAATTAAACGATTCTTCCACAAGAAAACCCAAGGAAATCCCGCTCATCATGGCCGGAAATTAAGTCAAGTTGGCATTGATGGCCAATGATCGACCAAGGCACAAAGCACTCAAACACATGTGGTCAAGTCCAAGGCTATCCAATCTCTTAGGGTGGAACTCATCTTCACTAACTCATCTCCATCCGGTAATCTTGTGCTCATCGCTTCTTCCAAAGCAACCCATGATGCAAATCCCATGCAAAATATTGTTACGTCCACCCCATGCAAAGTCCCCCTCATTTGATCATTAACCCTGAGCCAATTTTAAGTGTGATACCCCCTTCTTCTCCTATAGCAAATCCGATAATTCCCACCCTGGTAAGTCTTAAAAATTCTAATTTTATTTTTAATAGTAACCCTATTTTTTTTTATAATAGTTTAGGTGTTGAAGGGAGCATTCTGAGC